ACCACCGACAACCTCACGATTACGAATCCGGTAACCTAACCACTAAACCACCGACAAACACACGATTACGAGTCTGGTAGCCTAACCATTAGGCCACCGACAACCTCACGATTACGAGTCCGGTAACCTAACCACTAGACCACCGACAACCTCACGATTACGAGTCCAGTAGCCTTACCATTAGGCCACTGACTCCACATTACCGACACTGGCGGCTCATATGACCTCACGCAGTTGCGAGCGCCGTAAAACCTCTACTAAAACTAAACTAAACATTACAGACGGATATTCAATAAAAAGATCCCCCCCCCCCCAAAAAAAAAAAAATCAAAAAAAAAATCACCACCCAAAAAACCAAACCAACCTCCCATAAGGAGAACCGAGCTGACCTCTCCTGTTGCAACGACGCAGCGCCTAATCACTACGCCATTGACGGCGGATATTCATAAATCGTCCTTGGATGTTTTCTCAGACTTGGAATAAAATCTCCCAGATGAGGGAATGTGTTAGTGATGGTCCGCACTACCAAGAATCTGTTATAAATATATACATATATATATATATATATATATGTATATATATAATATTGTCTTTCGTTTCTCGTTTGGGTTCAAAGAGCAGCTTGGTACAAGTGCGTCATTTTGAAAGGTCTGGTTTCCATGAAGATCAATAATTGTTCATGAAAAGGAGGAAAGTGTTGGGAAGGGCATTGGCACTTATTATTTTATCTTTTTCTTCTTCTCGTTCATCGTTAATGGACGTCCCAGTCCCTAGTGTGTGGACATGTCTGTAGTCAGTGGTTTCCTTGTCTAGAGATTTTCTCATTCCTGGCACTACACGACATATAGAGCAGCACACATGTGAACGTGTCATCTTTGCATGTATAGTTTTTCCTTTGGTGATGTATGTCTTTTATGGTCACACGTTTGTCTCTTTATCACTTACCACACGGACCAAGGGGGGGCGTGGGGAGTAGCATTTTGTGTAAAAAACGCATTTCCATCTTCACTTACAGCGCCACCACCACCCACCATCACACATCCTGTACTTCTTTTCCTCCTCCCTACTTTTTCTTCTCTCTTTCCCCTCTTTTTTTTCTTTTCCTCCTCCTCCTCCTCCTCCTCCTACTCCTTCTTCTTCTTCTTCTTC